AACAGAAATCTGACTGTCCTTCAAATTACTGCACAAGTAAAAGCAGCTGGCAGAATTAATGTGTCTGAATCAACAGTTAGGAGAAAACTCACTGCAGTAGGTATAAATGGCCATTGTGTTGCCAGGAAACCACTGCTTAAACCGTCAAATAAATGTAAGTAACTCATATAGGTGAAAAAACACCAAAACTGGACTGTTAATCAATGGAAACAAATACTCTGGACTGAAGAATCCAAGCTTAAGATCTTCAGATCTTGGTAGTGACTGTATGTGAGGTGAAGAACTAGTAAAACTTGTGGGTTACTGCTTGTGTTGTGCCAATTGTAAAGCATGATGGAGGAAATGTGATAATCTGGGGTTGATTTGCAAGCAATACAGTGTACAATATTTATCAGATACCGGGAATATTGAATCAACATGGATATCAATCACAGCAAAACACCATTCCATCTGGGACAAAGCTGGTCAATGATAAATTTGTATTTCTGCAGATAATAACCCAAAACATACCTCTGAGATATGTAAAAACTTTTTGCAGAAGAAAACTGAACAAAATAAGTTGACTGTTATAGAATACCCACCTCAATCACCTGACTGCAATGCCATCAAATTAGTTTGGTATGAATTGGACTGCAGAATCAAAAAGCGACAAACAATTAGTGCAAAAAACTATGTGGACACAATTAAAAGAAGAATGGCAAAATATTACAAGAGAATATTTGCTCTGATTGGTTGCAAGAATGCCAAGAGTATCATCAGCAGTTACCAAGATGAAGGGCGGATATTTTGATGAATCTCATATTTAGCATTTTTTATATTTTGCTTATGTTACAGAGTAAAATTATGTTATGTAATGAATGTACTTATACATTTAATAAAATTTATTTAAAAATAGTTCTTTCCTTTCTATAGAGGTTTTTTGAAAGTGTAGTGTATGTGACTATGTATGTACATGTGTGTGTGTTTGTATATATGTATATACATATATGTTTGTATATATATATATTGCATATATATATATATGTGTGTATATATATATATATATATATGTGTGTGTGTATATATATATATGTGTATTTATATATGTATGTATACACATATATATATATATATACATATATATATATATATATATATATATACACATATATATATGTATATACATATATATATGTATATATATATATTGTATATACATATATATATATATATATATATATATATATATATATATATATATATATATATATATATACATATATATATATATATATATGATGTATATATATGTGTGTTTATATATGCATATACATATTTTCTTTTAAGCAATTTACATCAAGCAAGGTGGGAGTGCCACTAGTATGCAAGTGGCTACAGAGAATGTAAGTAAAGGGAGGGTATAGATTGTGTTGAGGAAAGAATAAAACAAAGTATGGGGATTGAGGCAACAAAAGATTTTGATTGACTTTACATTTGTGAAGATTATAGAAGATTATAGGAAATGAAATAAAGATGTTGCAGGTTTCAGTTTTCAGGATATTCGTGAGAAAAGGTTGTTAGTGTAGAAGAGGTGGTAACATTTAACTTTTTTGACGGTAAAGGGGTATGACTGAGATGCCAAACTAGTGGCACACTCAAATTGATGTAATTGGTGCACCAGTGAAAATAACTTATCTGAGCAGATGCTATGAAAATATTTAAAGACAGAGGAAAGCTAGGTTACTTTGGTGAGAAAGACCCCAAGCAAGGATGGATCACATAGCATATCTGTCTTTGGATTTTTCAAGAACCTCAAGCTTAACAGCAGGTGTACCATACTAGTTACAGCAACAGTATTTCATGCATAGACAAATGGTAGATTTGTAGATGTGAAGGATGGACTCAGTTTTAGAAATGAGGAATAATGTCTCAGGAAATTCAGAAGAATGTTGTATGAAAAGTTTGAAGTCATCTTTATTATGACTGATTGAAGTAAAGACCAAAGTTTGTAAGGTTAGTGACAAGTTGACAGAGCATAAACCAGATAAACTATTTACCCTGATGACACATGCAGTAGTAGAAATATGTTAATTAAGGCATATGATGTATATGTGTGTATATATATGTACCTGCAGATACATATACATACATATATATATATATACACACATGTACATCTCTATATATATACATATATGTATATACACACATATGTATATCTCTATATATATACATATATGTATATACACATATATATACATATATATATATAATTATTTATTTAAAAATATGATTCCAAATCATACATAAGAGGTCTCATGTTTCAAAACAAGGCCGAAAACTTCAATATAAGATTAAACGGAGCCCATTTTTAATTTAAAATGGGCTCCGTTCCATTTTAAAGGATTATATTTTTTTTATGTTTTGTTTTGAAACATGAGACTTATATTAAATTTATTTGGAATCATATTTTAAATAAATAATTATTTATGCTCTACTTTTGTATCAAGCACTATTTTTTAAAAATAATAACTAAAATACTAAGGGACTTTGGATTATTTACCTAACCAGTTCCTTCCTATTTTCTATATATTTTCACATATATATATATATATATATATATATATATATACACACATATGTACATATATATATATATATATATATATATATATATACATATATATATATATATATATATATATATATATATATATATACATACATATATATATATATATATATATATATATATATATATATATATACATACATACATACATACATACCTATATACACATGTTTTGTTTTTCATTAATTAAGCAGAATTAAGAATGCCTACTTGAAACACACACACACAACCAGCTAGAATTGTGTTACACAGACATGTGAATTATGCACACAAATGCTACCAAACAAGACAAATATATCTGAGGTCTACATAACCAATGAAAAACTAATATGAAAATGAAAAATATCTGAATTTTCTTTTCTTTTCCATCTTTCATTTCTGATTAATCTTAAAAAAAAGCAAATCATTTTGAATTCATAAATGTTTGCTATTTGTTCTTTATCCTATCACATATGTACATATATATATAAGATAAAATATATTGTCTGAAATTATGCTATATTTATGGGTCAAAGTGCTCAATATCAATGATAGAGCATATATAAATATAAAAATGGACATTGAGGACAACACTCAGTGGCAACATTGTTTCATACTTAAGCTCAATCTTCAGGCCATTTTTGGTTTTGATAACCTTTTATATGTGTCTAAACAAGTTAGCATTATACTCTCCACTGATTGCCCATCACCTTCACTGCAGATGAAATGAACTTGGTGTTCTCTGGAGCAGGTGAAGAGTGGTGTTTTCACGGCATGAATTGTTTCATATTTGGTTCAAACTGATCTACCTAACACTCATCCTGGTTTAGGAAATGTTCAAGGAAACTAGATGGATCTACCTCAAACAATGTCAGATTTTCTTGTGATATGATCAAACCAGTGCACCTTAGATTGGGCTTAAGACGTGGCATTTATCAAGCAAAATCCTTCATCATGCCAAATTCATTGTGTAGAATATTCTCAACTCTCTGACGAGATATGCTAATAGCATTGGCTATTTGATTTATAGACAATCGCTTGTCATCCATCACTATGTGGTGAACATGAGCAATGTTTTCCTTGGTGGTAGCAGCTGCAGAATGTCCAGAACTTGGATCATCTTCAAAACTCTCTTCTCTTCCTAAATTCAGCTGTCCACTTTTGCACTGTTCATAAAGCTGGAAGTTCATCCTTGAATGTAGCAACTATGTCAGCATGAATGTCCTTGGGGGTGAAACCCTTTTTCTGCAGTTATTTGCTAAAACCACAATGTCAAAGTAGCTACTAGTTACTTTTGAATTCTTCTTTTAACAGTCAGATGTCAGTTTACCTGGAAAGAAACAATGCAGTTATTAATAAGAAGAGTTGAAATTAATGCATCTAAGATTTCACAGCTCTAACATCACTCCTTCATAGTCAGCCTATGAACTTTTCAGACCACCCTCACAATACCTGATACCTTTTGACAAGTGGACTGAACAGTTATAAAAAGGTTTTCAATTACTCATTATCAGGACTTTTGAAAAGAATTATTGCATTGATAACAGAAAATTTATTATTTTATAAACACTCATTTTTATACACTAAATTTAAATTTTTAAATTTTTCAATAAAATATTATCTGTAAATACAAAAAATAACAAATAAGAAGACTTGTTACATGCTAGTTACATCAATGTTGTGAAAGAGACCTCTGGATTGGCCATTTTCTTTATTTTCTTAAAAAGGAGCCATTACACATTCAAGCTAAAATATGGTTTCTAAGAGATACACCAATTCCAGTGATAGAAACAGATTAGCGTCCATATCGAGCCATATTCATATTGACACAAGAAAGGTTTGAACTGTTTAAACAGTGATCAGTGATAAGTTGTTGCATTATTGTGCCTGTATTCACTTAAATTTGTTCGTCTAAGCCGTTAAGGTAGTTGAAATCAAATTGAAACCGGAATATCGATAAGATATACGTTAAATAAAATGTAAAATTTGACATTTGATAAAGATGATATAAAATGATAATATTTAATTGTTCTAATTCATTTTCCCCATTGAATTATGTGCATTGACAAGGAAGTAGATTTTGTTGAGGAACACATAGCTGTTGATTAAAATGAGTTCTTTTTTGCTTCATTAGGCTACAGTCATATTGTTGTAGGTCTAGGTATGTTTTTGTGCATGTATAGATATTTGTATTTTTACATATTGTGTGTATTCATGTTAGTGTCATTGTATCTATTATGTTTATGTATGTGTATGTGTTGTATCCATAAAGCACTAAGTGACTCAACACAAATTATTCCAAAGCTATAAATTCTGACAACAGAGTAACGTTTTCCATTTTATTCCCTTTCATGACACTTAATAGCCTACTTATTTTCATCTCCATTTGAAAAACACTGCCAGCCAAATTATGATCTTTATCTTCCTATCACATATCATCTTTCTGGCTATGCTGCAACCTGGTAAGTTTCATGTTTTTTACATTTTACAATTATAATATTGAGATATATTTTATGCTGGCAAGATTACCCCACTGGTTGATATAATCAAGAGACTAGAGTATCCAAGATACAGGGAAATATGACAACTGAACATTATCAAAAACAAATATACACATTCCACAACAAGGCTTAACTTGCTTTGATCAAAAAGTATGAAATAATAATTATTATTTTGCTTTTAAAATGAATTATGAAATGGTATGGAAAATAAAATGTAATATGGAATTTTTCTTCATTTCTTTGAGAAATTAATCAAACAATAAAAAGATGCCATGATTTGCTTTTTGTTTCATTAAAACATTTTTAGCTAATTTATTCTTTTGATGTTAAATTACTAAAAATGTATTTAAGAGATTCCAAGATAAAGTATTTTTCTTATTGCACCTTGTAATATTTAAACTGTTTTTTTAGCTTTTTTTTAGTAAAAATATATATTTAAAGATTCTGAGAAAAAGTATTTTCTGCATTACACAATTTTTAACTTCATAAAATCTATTGATATTATTTGCTGACAATTGAATTAGCAGAAATATATTTAGTTATTCATTTTGTGATTAAGTATTTTCATTATTCCACATTTCATTAATGATTTCTTGATCTTCTCTCTTGTTATTTACTAAGCAAAACATAGTTTGGCACAAGGCCACAAGAATGAAGTACCTAGAAAGCCAGTAATTATAATAATAGGCAATCAGGTTAGTTTGCTACTCATTACCCTATGACGAGATACTACTATTGAACTTTTCTGTTGGTTAAAATAGTAATAAAAATAATTTTTGAGATACTAAATTTAAAGTAAAACTATTTTTAGTGTCTCGCATTTTTATTAATATCCATTTTTTGTCTTTGTCTTTTGATGTCAAATTAGTAAAAATATTTAAAGATTCTAATTTAAAATATTTGAATTATTTGACATTTTATTTTAAATTTCTACTAATTTCTTCATCTATTTTCTTGGTTTTTAAATTAGTAAAAATATAGTTATTTAACTTATTTAGAGAGTCTGACAAAGTATTTTAATTATTCTATATTTTATTATTAATTTCAATTGATTTCTTTGTTTTTTATATTAGTATTTTATTTAAAGATTCAGATATAAAGCATTTTCTTTGTATCATAATTTATTATTAATTCTAATTTCTTTGTCTATTTTCTTTATTAGTATTTTTTTTACAGATTCAGATAGAAAGCATTTTCTCATGTTAAAAAAATGCAATGTAATTTTGAAGAAGAATTAATAAAATAGAAACTAATTCTGATTATAACAATATTTTGGTTTGGTTTGATTGTTTTTGTTTAGCAGCATATCAACACCTCTATGGGTTTAATGATTATAAGAACAGATATATTCCAGAAAGAATTTTGATGAACTGTTTCATGAATATTTCTCTCTTTTCTGATTGGCTAGATGGATTTATTGAGCTACACATTTTGTAGCAAAAATAAAAAAGAATTCAAATTCTGCCCCAAAAATGAGATCCCACTTTTACACAGAATTTATACTGGAATTAAAAATAAGGTAATGTAAAATATTTACACATTTTGAGGTGCAGCAGATGTAATTATTGAACAAAGTTTCAATTCCGGCCAAGGCTGCTTGCCTTTATATTGTACTAATAGCCTTTGGAAAGGAAGGAATCCATTTCTTCTCTCTCTAGTTATGAGTTAATTAAAAGTGGTAACTTGATCCTTTAATTTTGCTAGAGTGACCAATCTCGGAATAGGACATGTCTGAATTCGAATCAGCCTGAAGAGACTTGTTCATGCTATCTAGACAAAAATAAATATGAAAATCTAAAATCAGAGCTAATAAAGGAGAGGTATAATACAATTGTTAGATCAGTGGAAATTGGAGCAAGGGGTTTCATTTCAGGCACTCTGTACCAATTTCTGGGCCAAATTGGAATCAAAGGGCATAATAGGGCCAAAAGTATAAAACGCCTAATAGAAGTAACTGAGAATAGTTCTATGTGGATATGGAAAAAAACGAAATACTCTGTGGAGTGTTTCAGCGAACATGACGGCATAACATGACTGATCGTGAATGCGTAATGAGGTTCACGTTGCATTCTCAGAACGCGAGGTTTGCCGTTTTTCGGAATTTTCATAAATTTAATTTCGTCGTTAGACATTTGAACTAGTTTATCTACAACACTTGTATATCGTTATAATGGGGCCTCACATCAGTGAGGAAATTGGGTATGCAACTGAAACCGTTGAGAGGAAGGCCCCGAAACTGTGCACATTCTCTCCTGATGACCCCAGTTTAAATATAAATTCGAGAGTAACACATCAAAATTCAGTGAAGTCATATGCCGTAGAGAAGCTAAGTGGAAGTGTCATTGGCATGAGGAGCATTATACATTCAGCTCGCTTCAGGTGAGTTTCAATTACTTTCTAGTAATTTCCTTCTTCAAAAACTGCTGAAGCTGTACTTCAATGTCCATATAGAATACATACATGCATGTAAAAATATATGAAGAAATGAAAAATAAGATTTTGTAGCTTTTAAGAACATCTTTTTTTTATAATTCAACATTTCTTGGTATGATGTCTCTATTTATGATGGGGTTTGTTTTCTTTCCATGAAGCAGAGAAGCTATATTGAAAGTATATGTTGTTTAAATAATCTTGATTTTAAGATGGCTTCTCTTTCAAGTAATGCATACATTTCATCGACAAAAAAAAATTTTTTTTATAATTTTGTATATGAATATGATTTCAGATTTTCATACAGTTGCAGCAGGCATTTCTCATTTAAATGCAGAAGCCAATCCAATGACATCAACAATACAGAGCCTAGATGTGAGAAATTCACAGAATAAAGGTAAAAACATTAATCATATAATTATCTAAAATAAATCTTTTAACATACAACTTCCTTGAGATATATCTTAATATATTGATAATTGTTCTTCATTGTCTACTTATATCTGTCTCAGTTTACTTATATCTTTGTATCAATCAGAATGTGCTTATATCTATCTAAAACAGTGTTTCTTAACTTTTTTTTATCTAATGATAATTTTTTAAATATTCATATTAACAGATGTTAAAATTGCATTGGTAAATGAAGCAAAGTAAGTTAATATAATATATTTATATTTTGTCAAACTCTGGAAACAACCTGTGACAGGAACATTTAAGTGGCAATCCCTGGGTCAGACCATAGAAGATGCCGGATTCTAGCTTACAGGTTTTTGCTTTATATACATATGACAGTTGAAGGTAATGTTTAAAATGTGTAAAACTGTAAATATATAGGCAAAAACTAAGAAACATATGTTGTGACTTGTTCAACTAAAGATTAAATCATGACTGCCATATTAAAATTATCCAATCCTTGAAAGTTGGTGGCATTTCCTTGGGTGCATTAGCATATATGCTGGGAGTCACTGATCTAAATATTTGGATTGTTACCTAGCTATGATTTTCTATCTATAACTAAGTCTTGTCATGTTTTTATTCATTTCTCTTTGTTTACTAAATTATTCTCTATCTATTTATCTAAGTCAATTCATATCTCTTTCAATTTGTTCACATCTATCTATCTATATATATATATATATATATATATATATATATATATATATATATATATATATATATACGTGTGTGTGTGTGTGTGTGTGTGTGTGTGTGTGCGTATTTAGGCAGCAATCCTTCTTTCATGCACATTTCATTGAAAACGACAGACAAGGTGCTTTTATTTAGTTTTTTATTCAATTTCTCATGCGAACTAATAATTTTTTTCATTTCAGATGATAAATTATATAAAAACTGTCCAAATGTTCTTTTTATCCAAGCGCTTTCAGCTATACATTTAGCCATTTTCAAGGACTATATTTTAACTGTTAAATTTAGAAATAGTTTGTTGTATGTATGTTTTATAAAATGTTTTCATTTTTTTGTTTCAAAACACGGTCAAGATATTATGCCCATGTTCAAAGTTAATATTATTAAGTGTTGGTTTGTTTGTTTTTATTAATAAGGCTTTCATTATTTTCAGCCTTTTTTTTGCATGTAGATGATGCTATTATATTAGTGTTGTCAACAAGTATGTTCCGAATAGTGTCCGGTAGGTCTCCATGAATATTTAAATGAGATCTAATTGAGATAATGTCAGAAAGGTGTAGAGTTAGTCTGTGTGTCAAACATGTTGTACATATATAATAATATATATATATATATATATATATATATATATATATATATATATAAACTAGTTCGTCCCTCTCTGTTTATATCTTTTCAAAATTTTTCTATATCTGTTTAGATCTACTTTTTGTCTTTTACCCCCCACCCTTTCTATCTCAGCCTGCTAATGTACATTGAATTCTCTCTGTTCATATCTATCTTAATCTATTCATCTCTGTTTTCATTTATATAAGCATCTTCCTCACTTAGTCTATTCATATCTATCAAAATCTGTTTATTTAGCTCTGTTTATCTCACTACATCCCTTTATATCTATATCAATCAGTTTTTGTCTCACTCTCTGTCTGTTCATATTGATATCAGTATGTCTATCTGTCTGTCTCTCTTTCTCTATATTTCAAGTCTGTTCATGTCTATATCTATATCAATCAGTCTTACTCTCTCAGTATGTTCATATCTATCTACATTGGTTTCCCTCTCCTTCTCTATCTCTGTCTGTATCTATCTAAATCTATTCATATCTCTGTCTATTTCAGTCTATGCATAACTACCTAAATCTCTTTTCCTCTTTATCTCAGGTAAATAGATATGAACAAACTGTCTTTTTTGGTCTATTCATATCTACTCAAATCTCTCTCTCTTTCCCTCTCAGTCTGTTTATATCTATTTTGATATCTTCATATCACTATAGAATATTTACTACATCAACATATGTTTTCAAAGTCACTTCATCTTTTAAGTTCTATGGTCATTTTTTCTTTCTATCTTAGAAAATTTTTAAATGATTTCTTTTTTTTTTTTCAGCATCTTTAATGGGTGTCCATCAGATTCAATCTTTATTGGGAAGACAAACAAAGAAATCTGTATTTTCTGATAAAAGTAAGTTACAAGAATTTTTTTACTTGCAAATAAATATATTTAGAAGATGTATTTATTTGTAGAATAATATCTATGAAAATGAAAGCTTTGAAACATCAATGTTACACAAAAACCTTTGTGTTCAGTGTGGATTTTATTAACATTATTTCAAGTATGAACAAAAAAACTGTAGATACATCAATGAGTTCATAGCCTAATGATGAAAAAAAAAGAACATTTATTTTACACCTAATTTCATCGCATCAATATAATTTCCTTCTTTGTCAATGCAGTTAATTCAGTGGTGAATATTAATCATATCAATCGAATATTTCATCTCTTTAAAATTCAAATCATAACTACATGTCAGGGTACAAACTTATTGATCTACCCTTGTATGTTTTCTATTTAAGATAATTAACTAAAAATGGGCACTAATTATCAATTGATTAGGAAAAATCACATAAGAGAAATACAAACAGGATTTTTCATAAATTGTACAGAACTATTATTCAGTTAAAATTGTGACGATATAGCTGTAATCCTTTTGACTTGGTTATAATTGTTAGTTGGTTAACTTTTGTGGATGAATTGTTTATCTTATGACAATGTTTATTTCCACCATATTTGGTTTGGGTGCATGTTGGCCTTGTATAATGATTAAAAGAAAATGCACAAAGTTTTGATAAATACAAAATAAATCTTTAAATATAATAATAATAATACAGAAGGATAAATTATAAGTTGAAGTTTCAAGAGTTCAAGTGTAAAAGTCCTGATGAATACAAGATAGAGAGACAGGGAAAGAGCCCTGTAAGAATTAAATACATACATACATATATATATATATATATATATATATATATATACGTATATATGTATGTATCCAAATGTAGTAGCTGCCACTTGTGAAGGAAGGTATATTTCTTTTCAATGTAGCAAGGAACAGTTTAGCTGTGTACAGTCACCAGCTAGTCATGCATATGTCATATTTCATCTCTGGTTGTTTTGCAATAACCACAGCATTGGAGAATGAACAAAATTAATTCATCAACTCTGGTTTTGGTTGATTTTCCATCTATTTATATACATAACTATAGATTCATTTTGAAATTATATCCTAATTGTGAGAGTTTTCTGATTGGTTGATCAAACTATCTATTTTTAAAAATGGTGAAATTTTGGTCTCATTTTTACTATTTATTTCTTTTCTTATATCCTGGTTGTGAAAGCTTTCTGACTGATTGGTTTAACTATGGCTTTGTTTTCTGGTGATATTTATTATCTGTCTGTTTTTAGACTTGATGAGATTTTGGTCTTCCTGTTATAAATCATTACATGTCCACTGCTAAATATGTTTTAATGTTGAAACCCACTGGACAGGTTTTTCTTGAAAAACATTAATGAACATAAAAAGTCTTCTTTGCAAGTTTATGACTGTTTTTATATATACAACAGAATATCGGTAAATTTGCAGACTAAGCCCTGGAAACTAACTGTAATGAAAATTTCTATTCTGGTGTGAAATTGCCTGATTAATTCCAAAATAACAATAAAAGTTTGTGGAAGAAAATCATTTAGGAGTTATCGACAATATAAGTTAGGCCTTATTCACATCTAGCCTGGCTATCATTACTGGCGTTGTTTATATATATTTGCTTCAAGTAGTAATGCATGGAAGCTTACTGAGTTAACTGCCTTTTTACTGATTTTCTTACTCATCTTGATTACTATGCAATTTGTGAAATTTAATTTAAAGTTTGTGTATTGTGCAGTAATGAAGATAAGTGAAGCTTCTGTACATTACTATTCAAATCAAATGTATGTAAACAAAGCCAGTAATGGCAGCCAGCCTGTAACCACGACAGGAATGAAGCTAAACTTATGTTGTCGATAACTCCTGAACAGTTTTCTTCTGCAAACTTTTATTGTTATTTTTTAAATAAGCATGCAAATTTACACCAGAATGGAAATTATCATTACAATTTCCAGTTTCCAGGGCTTAATCTGCAAATTTACCAGAATAACTTATAAATGTATGCATAAATGTGTTAAAATATTTTAATGATTTTATGAATTATCTCCTAACACATAAAGAACAAAGTTGTGCAAGCTTTCACTCACTTATTATATTAGCAAATTAAATAAGCAACAAGGAGATTCTGTCATTAATGACTTGCTTATCTGTGGCAAATGTGATGAGACAGAACCTGGGACGAGCACAACTGGTTGCGACTTGCTTTGTCCCCACCAAAAAAGAGCCCGTATTTGCTTAGCATGTAAAGCTACTGCAGTTGAAATGAGGGAGAAAAAAGCACTTACCGTTCTGCCGTAATCAGTCCTCGGCCAGATAACGTAAAAGAATGAGGGGGGACTTGCATTGCATTTTTATGCAATAAAGATGCAATGCATTATGGGACATGGACGCAATGAATTATGGGATTGCATGAAGACGCAAGGGATTATGGGTATATGGACAAATATAAAAGCAACTAATTTTTCCCAGTGGGGGGGGGTCTTTGAGTGACGTTCACGGTTGGCGGCTGGAAAAGTCTGTTAGTGCAATTTTGAGACAGAACTCAAGAAGGAACAACTTGAGGTTGGAATACCAGTTGGCAGAGCTTGAATTTACTCGATGGTTGCTGTTTTCTTTTTATTTCACCACAGTCACTAACTCTATTTTTGTCTTTATCAGTCACTATCTCTCTTACCTTATTTCTCTTTCTGACATTGTTGTTGTATCAGATAGATTGAGCAAGAGAGACAGCAACAATGTCAGAAAAAGAGACAGTGAGAGAGACTGCACCTCTCTTTTTGTTTCTCTAGCCCTCTCTGAAGTGACAAGTTATCTCACCCATGTGGCCACATGTGGTCAGTTGAAGGTTTTCCCCAGAATATGTGTGCGATTGTTCTCACATTTTTGGGGCATAGAGTTCAAGGTGCTTGCAGATTTCGATGTGGACATTGACTTGGGGCTGATGTTGTCTGATATTAGTCTTCTCCAATATGATTTTGTATTGTGCCTACTGAATCCATGGTGTCATCAATTTCCATTTCTTCTTGTTGTATTTGGCTTATGCTGTACATACGGTGATAAGGGATTATAATCTTTGTCGATCACCATAGAGAATTCACCAGGATTACTACAGCCAGACCCCAGGATCTGCAGAGGTATTATACAGTTCTGGCCTAGATGTAGTTAATCTATTTTCCATGTTTAACATCTTGAACCAGCTGTAAATCAGGGTGCCATGAGGTCAAGTGACCCATTCCCTGGATAGAACAATGTGGGATGACAATAACTGGGTGGTTCTTTCAGAGGAAATGACGGTTGTATAGAGTTACAAGATTGCTTCCATCCATCTGCACACGGTATTGCCAGTTACTAAGTATCTCTGCAATTCTCCCTGATTTTGTCCACTGACAAGAGTAAGGGCCATCTTAATTCTGGATCTGAACAGAATTGCTAATTGTAATTCCCAAATTGGGAGACAATACTCATTGTACAAGTGTTCATTCTGCATGACCCTCTTAGCCATTGCTGCCTCTCTCAGTTGACCAATTTCTCTCCACTGTTTACAATTTTTGATTACACAACCATATATTATCATAGCAGAAGATGTGCCAAAATACTGGTTTGGAATGTTGCATTAGGCCAGCAAAGCATGGGCTTCTGACCATGGTTGTCCGTATTGTCTGCAAGTTTCTTACTTAGCTGTTTTGACGGTCAGTTCTGCCTGGCCATTGCTTTATGGGTAGTAAGCTGACAAAGTATTTTTCCATATTCCTCAATTCTTAAGGAACGAGTTGTATTCTTGGGAATCAAAAGGTGGTTCCCTGTCCAAAAGAAAATTCTTCATGTGCACCATATGTGCAGAATCAAGTTGTGTTGCATACTGCCCTGGTCATTCTAGATGACATTAGGACCACTTCTATCCAACCAATGTACTGATCTGCATGTATAACAATTTCTACTGTGTATCTCGAAAAATTCAATCACGGTTTGTTGGAAGGGGAATTCAGTGTTAGACAGTGGGATCAAGGGCTTTTTAGGCTGTGATGGGGTGATAGAATTATATATCTAGCATTGGGATCTGATCTGTCAGGTGCTGACATCAAAAACAGGCCAAAATAGACATCTTTTCACATTTGCTAGCATGCCATTTACACCCTGGTGTGCAGAATGTAGGGATTCAAGTACTTCTGCATGAAGTTGTTGAGGTATAAGGATTTTATTCTTGATTGGTACTCCTTTGACACACTACAATTCCTTGTGCATGGGCCAGAAATGAGAGATCACTGATGGGAGATCATGACATGATTTGGGGAAATTAGTCTGTATATATTTTGTCAGAGTTCGATGTTCTTCATCAATGTCTGTTACAGCAACGATCCTATCCAATGTGATAGCCCTCAGTCTTGTGTCATGCTCATATGTGAACATGAATGCAGCTTTGATTGCACTGACAATTAGTTCGACTGCATCAGTTGTAGTCACCTCATAGAATGACCATCTACACTTCTGTTGTATATGTGCAGATGATATTTGGGGATGTTCTATAGAGTCCTCTGATGTAATCCATGCTGGGTAGCAGGAGGCACAGTCAGGTGTACCATTAAGTTTTCCAGTGAGATGTTTAATACTGAATTTGTACATTAGTGTGTATTTCTTGAAGTTAAAGAGATGTGGGTTCTTTATGTTCTCAGGGGCCTGATCTGAGAAAAGTTTTATGAGTGGTTTATAGTCAACAGTCACTATCAAATCTGGACATCCCAATATAAACATCCAATATGACAAGAACCAGGGCTTCACATTCGAACAGTACATAGCAGGATTCTGCATCATTGGTAAAGTGAGATTCAGCCAACATAATTTTCCAGTAACCATCACTGCAATTTGGGTTCAGTGTTACTGAAAAAAAAGGTAACCGATTCCTGTTTTTCTGTGATCTATTAAAAGGTATGTTATTTCATTGATCTTGAACATCTTGACTTTGATTACTCACTTTGACTCCTCAAAAGGTTGGTCAAGTGTTTTGTTCCAATCACCTCAGCTTGTGAGAATACATAACATACCTGATTCCTCAGTCAAAACCAGGACCTGGTGCCCATGATATTTGTGGCCATAGGAAGGTGAAGGATGGCCACGGTCATTTTCTTTATTGGTTTCACACCATCAGCTGTTATTAAGAACCCAGCAAACACCACCTTATTCTCTGCAAAATGGAATTTATCTAGGATTAAACACAACCCCATTCTTCAAACAATGGGTTATATATACCATTGTGTGCCAGAACAGAGACTCTATAGAATTGTCCCAAAGGAGGTTATCATCTATGCAACAGGTTTTTCAAACCCTGTCCACTGTAATATCATTGAACTGACAGGTATAGCCATCTCCAGGCATGTGAAATTCCTGGGGAGCATGAACATATCTCTACCAGCCCTATTCAGTGATAAATGTAGTGGTATCTTGTGCAGTCGGGGAAAGCAGTAAGCTGTCTACCCATTTCATTGCATCCAGATCTGTTTTCTTTGTCTGAACTGGAACAATGGAGACCTGATTAAATGAGGAATGGGTGTGGTGGATTTCCCTCATTGAGGCAGTGTTCAGTTCTTGCAAGTCCACCGTACATCTGGGGAAGCTGTCTATTTTGGGTGTGATTACCAGCCTTGAGAACCAGATTGTAGGAGTGCCTGCTGGCACTGGTTCAATTATACCAAATGTGATGTTTTGATCAAGGTCTTGTTTCACTCTCTTCTTCCAATGGTGAGGGACAGGGATTGGTGTGTAGACCACTGATAGCATCACATCAGGGATGAAGGTAATGTCCAATAGCTTTCCTGTCATAGCCTAAGGGATGGTGTGGGCATGTATTAAATGCACTGGACTTGAAATGATCATGTATCTATCATTCCAGTAGGTTCTGTTGGTTTCTGTCTGAAGGGACGAGATGGTACTAGGCATTGCTGAAATGGGTTTTCTGCATGTGAACAGTGCATATTCCTTTGTGCCCTTCAATGAGTTCAGCTGTGATGTTTAGGCTAGGAAATCAGGTGGCAGATTCTGATAAGTAAAAACCAGAAGTGTTGTTTGACACATACACCAGCTCCCATGTCTCCCTCAAGCCAATTCTTATATGCACAAACAACAGACCTTTTATATGAAATTGGCTGTCTGTGATTCCCTGTATTCAATGACTAGTTGGCACAAGGTCATTTTTTGTGCACTTGGATAGTTTTTAATATCTCTGGTTCAACTGAACAAGTTTGAGCCTCTGTATTGTGAATACAAGGATGTGATGACTACTGTAGCTAATTGGACCTGTCTGGGTGCATCCAAATGAAGCATGGGTTCAATGCATTATAGTCTTTTCTATTGTCAATGATGGCGGTGGATCTGGGACACCTACTTCAAACTGCTTTCCATTTCATACAAGATGAGGCACAGCACAGGGTAGTATCAAACTGGTTTTACGACTCCATTTTGATATGCCAGCATAGCAGATAGTGCCAGAGGTAGGGAACTTTCAGACTAGTGTTTGAGAAAGTGAATGAATCACAACCTGTCTTGCACCTTGTTAATCTGTTCATGGTTCCCAGTTCAATTTTAGTAGATTTCTGGCATACCCTTTTTATGTAACCCCTAATCCCGCAATTATGATATATGTTTAGCTGCTGGGCAATCTACTACTAATTGATCCACCTGGGTGAACTATCTTTCTACAACCCACACAAGGATTATTATTTGGCAAAGAAGTGGGTACATTAGTTCTTTGGGGTTGTCGAAGGGCACAGTGCTCATGGCCAGATATCTGTAGGTAGGATGAGGTTGATGGGCTAACATCCTTTAGTAACTGTGCTGCTGACTTGTGTGTCATTTCCAAGCTGACGAGGCAGTCAAACTTTTAAGCATGGAGAGGTTGGCAGCCTTGGCCAAAATTTGATTCTGGTGCTCCCTGTTGGCAAGTCCCACAATCATCTGCTCAGCTATTATGTCACATGAGTAGCTGACTCGCCGACTGCAGCACTGTACCACAACGAATTGGATGTGTGATAAAAGCCTTTCCTCCATAGCTGAATTTAAGGTTTCAGTCCCTATGAGGTAAAAAATGAGACTGTTTACTTCAGTCAAGCATGTTGTTCTCAGTTCATTGTGCATTTCAACTAGGTTGATAAGTTTACACATCTTTTTATACCAAACATCAAGGTATAATGCTCAGTCAGTGTCCGTTGTGTTGGGTTCAATGACAGGATGGTCTGTTTTTTTTTTTTTGTTTGACATTTGCACCACATTAGAGGTTCCATCCATCTGAAGAGCAATAGTTTTCCTTTGTAGCATTTGTTACTTGAGTTGAGCAATCAAATCAAGGGTTCTGCCTGGTGTAGATGCCATGCCTTATTTTGTTAAGATAGTTCCACATTTTCACCAGATTCTCTTCACTGTGCCATGTAGAATAACCACAACAACAATGGTAGTAGTAATTCTCAATTACTTTTACAAGTACAAAAATGCCACACAGCTGTTTATTTAACACTGGATGAGGTAACTTATCTCTGTCTGTGCAAGTCCCCCATTATCTCATGAGACCTTCCATTTCTACTCTACAATTATGACAACAGACTAACAAGCAACTGAATCTAAGGCTAATTTGTTCAAGGTCAATGGACAAGCACATTGCAGAGAGCTTCAGGTGATTTTAACGGGGAAAAATTTTTTCAGGATTTTGGTTGGCTGTCATTATAACAATTTCTTGCACCAGCAAAGCAGACTATCTTCTAGCAATGGCTCCAATGATAGCTTGCGGGACAATAATATCTGAGGCTTCCAATATTCCCATATAAGATTCTACTTCATCAAATACAGTTGTTGTTTGATTTGTTTTTATGACTTATCAACCTTTGTGCAATATTTAAAGTGCAAAGAGATATTGGATTGCAAGAATAATTCATTTATTTGCAAGTGAATAGTGCATTAGCAATTTTCTTTAAGAATAACAATGATTTTCCAAGATACAAACCCTATTATTTAACCCTAAGCTATTGGGAAGTGATGGATCTAATAGTTAATTTTATGGACTAAAAATTCTGAGCCAGAATTGAACTACTCCCCAAATGACAGCCAAATACTGCTGATATCTAAATGCTATTTTCAAAAACCCAAATACTTCTATCAGAAAGCTTGACTTCATTTGTCTTCTCATTGGCTAGTCACCTAAACAATCAAATAATGACTTACAGAAAATGTCTATAGAACATCTGTTTACAAAATAATCTAAATGATGTGAGACAGGAAAAATAAGTAACCCTTGAACTCTCAACAACTTTATGATGAGTGACATTCTTAAATCAATACATCTTTATTTTAGTCTACAGTTTCATGCCTGCTAATGTATTAGTCATACTTATAAAATCTTAGCTAATCCTATCAATTTTCTTAATACTTTATTCTCAAATATATAAAATCTAATTATAATCAATTAATGCCATCATTAGCTTTGCTTAAGAAATGAATGAAAACATTCCAACACAAATGACTTTGCCACACAATAATCCCTACACCACCATGCACCTCTTAGAATTGTTATTAATTGGTAATTTACTTTATATTTATTTCCAGCCCAGTCTAACAGTCCACAAATACTTCCATTGCTGAAGAACAGGCAATCATTGACAAATTTGGGTGGGAAGAGAAATCCCCCAACCAATGCAGCTGCCCAGAGTTGGGGAAAGAACCAGTATGATCCAAATATTTATTATGATTACGACTTCTATGATTATCAAAATGGTCCTGCTTTTAGTTCTTACTTGAATAGAAAACCAGCAGGACCTGTAGGAGCAGAGACATCACCGACTGCCAAAACAGCATTAAGATTTCAAAGAACCCTACCATTTGTAAATTCCAATAATGTTATCAATAGAGGTTTCAGTAAGTTTCATTTCTTTTATAAGCATACACATATATCTCCACACATAGACATTCCATGGTGTCAGAAAGTTCTCAGGCTAGGCTAGGATCTACTGGCAAACTCCATAAATGTATCCAACTATATGAGATATTTGATGATTACCTTATTGACAATATTCAGAGATGAATTTACATTTTCCTGCATTCTCACATGTTCTCTTCATGACTATTGACAACAACTTGAAATAATACTCAACCAGCCTTGAAAACCATGTCTCACTTGAAAGTCTATATTTGTCACATCTTTCAGGAGTTCATTAGACTAAAGTGATATTTACGTCAATGTAACTACTTATGTGTACAAAGAGGAGTGGATCCTGAAATTTTAAATTTTCAGATTTTAATTTTTTTTTTTTTTTTTTTTTTTAGATGTTTTGGTATATAGCTGAACCAGTTGTATTTAGTTTCTTTTTAGTTTTATTCCTTTTGTTATTAAATATCCCACATTGCGATAATAGAAGATCTGCCAAGAAAGATGAAATGTTGTAAGAACCTGGACATAAAATTACTGCAGATTATCTAACAAATTAAATCTTACTTATATCCTTAAAAGTTTTCATCAGTCTTGTGTTAAACATTTTTTCAGACAAGCACACACTTTTGAGTGGCACATGTGTCTCAATACTGGTTGAGATTTGATTCAAGATGATGAAACTTCAGGATAACCAATCAAAATCAAAAAGGAAAATTCCAGAAAATGTGGAAAAAATTCAAGAACAATCCATATATGCTTGAGAAATAAGATACATTTTAAGTCTAGTTTGAGCACTTTCCACTACCATGCCCATCCATATATATTAGATCACTGCAAAAGTTTGTGCCTGATTAAAAACAAAATTTAACATACTCACAAATAAACATTTATTAGTCAAGTACACAGTCTATTGTTCTATGTAGTCTATTGTTCTCCTGATTAGGAAATTAAAAACAAAATTTTACATACAAATAAATATTTATTAGTCAAGTAAATAGTCTCAGTTGTTTTTAACAGTTGTCTCCTATCTTTCTACAAGTTTATTGATGTCATTTTCATAGAAACTGTGTTTTTTTCTTTGAAGAAGTTTGTAGTTTTCAACTCACTGTTCTCTAGAGATCAGAGCAAATGAAAACCCAAAGGAGCCAAGTCAGGAGAATATAGTGGATGCTGGAGGGTTTCCTATTTCAACTCTTTAAGCATCTGCAAGGTCAATTTTGTAACATGTGATTTTGTGTTGTCATGGAAGAAAATGAAACCTTTTTGATTTGCCAAAATCAGATGTTTTCCTTGAACCCAAGTCTCCTAAAATGGCAAAAGGTTGTTGAGATATTGATTTTCAAACTCTTAGCAATCACCTCCATAAAAATCTTCAGTTTATTCTCCACAATGGTAACCAGAACATCTTCACTGATGCTAGAAGTTTGCCTGTAGCATGGTTGATGTTGAGGTTTGAGGTTAAAAGCACCATGACAAAATTAGCCAGACAACTATCTGAAGAGTTGAAACATGATCCAAATAAATTTTCTGAATGTTACTATCCAAAATTCATAATATGGCAATAGAGCAACTTTCAAGACATTCATTTATGGCTAAAAGTCAACATTGAACTAAGTCCGAGTCGCAATGGAACAATGAAAGTTTTTGGTTTAGAACAAGAGAGAAATCAGTACCAAAACAAACACCAGTGTCAAATTGCAGTAAGTTTATATTAATAAACTTTTTCAATGCACACACACACACACATATATATATATATATATATATATATAATATATATATATATATATATATATATATAATATAACAGAGCATTTACTTAAATATTTGTATCTATAAAAAGAATGTATAAACATAAAAATGTCTTAAAATAATTGTCGGCCTTTATCCATTTCATAATTATATATATATATATATATATATGCAAATGTCAGTGTGTTACACTGAAATCCAGTAGAAGTCACCCATGAAATAAAAATAATTGTTCGTACGGAAAGTAAGAACCTACATATATGAAATTGTCTTTAAATTAATTGGCAGCAGAAGAACTATCATTGAACTTTTAAAAGGTAAGCTTAACTTTTAATAAAATACATAAATGCAGTGATCAATTTTGAGTTCTTCTGTAGTTTATTGTCGCCTATCGTATATGCTCTTCCCTTCCTATTGTGATGAAGGCCCAATCAAGAGCCGTCTGCAGGAGCTAGCTTAAATGCTACCTAATAGGATGCCTTTTAAGCTAGTATATATATATATATATATATATATATATATGATAATGTATTTATTTTTAATTTTATGTAAGTTTAAAGTTGTGCATGTGTCTGCTTAAATCTTTGGATATTTCCTTAATATTCAAAAAGTTCATAGTCTCTTCATTCATTTGTATATTGGGTGAAATATTATAAAAGCCAGTGACATTTTATCTACCTGTATAAATATTATATATTGCCCAGTTTAGCAGTTCTTCCTTCAAGGAGATAACTAAATTGCATATTTAACTGTAAAAATCAAATTTTTAAAAACAATGGTGTTGTTATTCATTCTAACCTTCTCTTTTGCAACTTTCATAAATAATTATTTGGGTGATGGCTTTTATAGTTAAATTGCTTAATTATTTCATATAAGCCAATTTTACATCTTGAAAGTCATAACAACCTTAGCATTTAGATCACAGCTTGAGAATAAATTGAAATAGACAATATATAAAAGGTAGTAAACTGTGTTCACATTATTTTAAATGGTATATTGTGAAACAAATATTATACCCTGTGATATATAAAGAAAAATGACAATATTTTTTAAAAACTGCTTTAATTACAACAATTTTTTTTCAAGACCATTTCATGGCATATGAAAATCTCTCAGTTGAGCAAACAACTGAATAGTGCAGTGGAACAAAGGGAAGGTACTTGGTTCATTCAATGTCATGTATAAATATAGATATAAAATGAAATACAGTCTCCTTTTAATATCTTTATTTAGGACTTTTTCAATCTTTGATAATTCTTTTGCTTTCATAACTGTATCATTGTAATTCTAATTAATTCTTTTTGCAATTAAGTTGCTCAGAAAAATAATAAATAAAATTTGTTTCCAGCAGAGAGCAAGATAAAAGAAATGATTCCCAAAAATATTTGATTTTTTTCTTTTCAGATTTTTATCCCGCTCTAATGGATATGGACTGTAATACATTTGATATTCCCCAGATGTGTAGTTCATCACAAGATTGTATGAGTCCTGGCTACTGTTTTCAAGGGCTTCAGGGAACTTCTGGTATCTGCTGCTTTCCAGGTTACATGGGTAGGTAGAAGAGCACAATATTTGAGCACTCACTGAATAATGAACATATTACATTAGCAAATTGAGCTGGAAGAAGCTAGCAAATCATTATGCTACAACAGGCAGCTAAATATCTGATCATTTTTAAATGGTTGTCATGGATTAATGGTAGGGAAGCTCAAATGCTTGATCAATACAATAAATCTTCAGAAGATGTGTTGTGTTTGCTAATGCTAATAATCAATATGAAACTTAGGAGACAATTTCTTTTACCATTTTCTTGTAAAATAATAAAATGTACATGAGACAAGGATGTGTCTTCTCTTCAGATTTATTCAAACTCAACAACAATGCTATCATAAGATAGCTGGAAATCCTAACTGAATTTAGTATCAAAACAATAACAGATATGCAGATGACATTGTGTTGATTGTAGACATAGAAGAAAATCTTTAGGACCACCTACACCAAGAAATGAAGGAAAGCCAGAAGAAAGGACTAACAATCAATTGTAAGAAGATAAAATATATGATTATCAGCAAGAGAAAAACCCAAGATGTAAGCTGTGAATTGGAGATGTATAATTCAAATAAGTACTGAAGTTCTCCACTGAGTTCTAGAGGTTTTTGAGTTCATGGACAAGGGTACAGTTGTCATCAGTGTATTAAAGCTCTGTCACTTATAATTAATAACTAGTTGATAAAAAAAAATAGTGAAATGTAATTTATAGTATTTCTTTAATAACCAATACACAGAAATAAAATCTCAGCCCTAACAGCCATTATATTCCAAATCTCTCATAAAAAGGTCCATTAAATAAAAGGTTTACTTTCACAATTGCTATTTAATTTCAAATTTCAGCATGTTTTCATTTTGAAGAATATTTTCTTATTTGAGAATTTATTCTCTTTTCAGATTAATTCTTCCATAATACATCCTGTCTACTCAATAGAAAAATACATTTTTTTGGTAAAGAGAAATCACCCTACTTTGAAAAATGTGTAAAACTTTATCAAAATAAAAATATTATTGTAATTCATTTTCCTCTTTCATGAATAAAATACTGATTTATCATATTTTTTTCAATTCTTGTTCTTTTTATAATTTGTTGAATTACTGTCATATTATGACTTTTTTCAAATATTGCTTTTCATGACATTTTTCAATTATTTTTCTTTCATAAATTTTGTCACTTATTTTTCTTTTATAACTTTTCAGTTATTATTCTTTTATGATTTTTTTTTAAATTATTATTCTTTTATGATTTTAACATCATTATTTTAAAGTTTTTGAATGTATTGTTGTATTTGTGTATGAGTTAAATATTTCTATTAAAAGTTTCCCTGCACGGTTTGGACAAAATCTATTCATCATACAAATTTATAGCAACATGAGTCAGTGATCAAAGTGTTTTTCCTGACTTTCCACAAACTTAAGCTATCTTTCAGAATAAATTGTGTATTCCATCATAAAAGGAAAATTCCAGTTTTGATTAAAAGAAATCTTTGCAGAATTTTTCAATATCTTGAACTTATTGAAACCATTGACCAGACAAGAAGTATTGCAGTGAATAAAATAAAAGGTAATAAATCTGGAGGATAAGGCATATGTGGCAGCACTCGCTATCCAAGTTTCATGATTCCTGGTTGAATTTTATTTGCAAAATGAGAATAGCAAAATACCTAGTTGACTTTTTTGCCCCCAAAAAGTTATTTTCCAAATTATCATTCAAATAAAGTGACTGCTTCATTTATATTTTAAAATAATTATTTTTTTAAAATTATTTTCAACCTTGCATAATTTAGAAGTACATTTTTACCATGAAACTTATCCAAATTAATATTTTTTAATTAATAGAAATATAAAAATTTGCTTTTAAATGATAAGAAAATGATGTCATAGAATATTTAATTGCACTAAATAACATCTTTTTATTATTTTAAGAAATATATTTAACAAAAGGAAATGCTATTATAAAAAAAATAAACTGGGGAAAATTAATAAAGAAATTCTTACTGAAATGCTGCTGCTAATTTTGCCTTCATTTCACTTTGCTTTCTTTCATCTTTCAATGTTATAAAAATTCTAGACACTTCCAAACACCATTCACAATTATTTTTAACATTACATAACCAAAAAGGTAAAAAATATAATTTTCTTCATTCTATAGGACTTTATGAAACTGAAAATGAATAAATTTTATACTGACAATAGGAGTATAAAAAGAACATTTTTTGAATGATTAAAAATGAATTATTCTGATTTGATCTTCTATACAAAAATATAATCTAACAGTTGTAAAGAGGAAAATATAAAATTCTTTTAAAAAAAAACTTCATACTCAAAAATGGCGTTAAATGTTATATTTTTTCTTCAAACACATTTCTCTTTAATAAAAGAATCTTTTTCATAATTGACTGGAAGAATTTCAAAATCACACTGAAAAATTACAAGTATATTTTTCAAAAATATTCAATGTAGATTTTTCCTCTGTCAAATTTTAAAGAAAATAATGTGTACTATTAAGTTATGCAAATACCAACTTTCCAGAAAAAATATTTTTTTGTATTTTATTTAACTGTTTTTGCAGTTTTGGCATAAGCTTCACAATTGATAGCAGATCACTAGCTATGTATATAATGAGAAAGAAAGTCAACCTAAATCAGAATCAATGAATTAATTTTATCAATTTTCAGATAATGCATTTATCATAACATACCCAGAGCTGAAATAAGACATTTATGTGCAATGGAGTATTGCTGCCATATATGGTCTGGTGCCCCTTCTGTTTGCCTCGGGGTTCTTGATAGGCTTCAGAGGCAGATATGCAATATAATTGGCCCTGCTCTGGCATCTCATCTACAGTAACTTTCTCACATACGCGCTGTCGCCTCTCTCTGTCTGTTCTACAAATACTTTCATGGTAATTGCTCCGAGGAGCTGCATTTGCTGGTTTCCAGACTTCATGAGTTCAAGCGCCCTATGAGGCTGGCATCCTGCTCTCACATCTTCACTGTCGAAACTTCTAAATGTAGCCATCTCTTCTACTCTAATAGCTTCATGTCTCGCACCTCTCACCTGTGGAACTCCCTTCCCTATTCCAGTTTCCCTGAGAGCTATAATCTCCAGCTATTCAAGTGTAATGTCAATCGACATCTCCAGTTGCCTTGATCTATCCACTACCCATCTCCTCATACTCTCTTCTATCACTCCTATCTGATCTCGCTCTATATTTTCTGTAACCCCTTGCGTCCTAGTGGCTTCCCGCCTTGCTTGGGGTGAAATGCTTAAAAAAAAAAAAAATCCACACATAATAGTCATATAATACTTATTTCCTTCTACCACTAGTGACTAAGACATCCACAGTCCTGTGTTGACACTAATACATACATACTTCCTTCCCCCATTTTAAGCAAATGATTATTACTTCTAAATATATACATATATACACACATTCTCCCACTCTCTCTCTCTCTTTCATATCCACCAGGACAAATTACATTTGAACTCTTGAACCTACACCTTATCACTATCCTTTTGTATATATATTGTGTTATATAAATATTTATCTTGTATATATTAAATCTATGTGCATTTTCTTTCAGTCCTTGAACAAGGCCCATGTAAATCTATGGTGGTAACAGTTTCTGGGAGCTGAATAAGAGAAAAACTAAAAGCCACTGCTGCTGACAACACAAAAAAAGCTGAAAAGGAAATAACATCAGAAAAAAAAAAGCAAAAGAAATTTGGCTTTCACATAGGAATGACCATAGGCTACTTCTTGGGTCAGAATAAAAAAGAAAACATTGTTGTTGATGACAAAAAAGAAGAAAACTGAAGAAAAAGAAAAAAGTCACTAAAGAAAAAGAAAAAAGAAACTTCTATAAATTTAGAGAGATGTATGATTATCTTTGTATAGTTGTGAAAGTTTGTCACAAAATTATAGGAATTAATCCAGATATTTTAAGAATGAACTACTGTCTAAAGAAACCAGAAACTCAGAAATGCCTATGAATCATCAACTTTCTCAACTCCTTTTAACAGCCAAATGAATTGAAGTAAGTGAACATTTTGTTGATAATAATCATAACTGTTTTTATTAGCCTATCCGAATTGTAACTAGAACCTGTTATCTTGTTTAAGTGTTAGGTGCACAAAGAAAATTTTGTACAAGTTTGTTTTGTAAATTTTGTCTTCTGCATTATTATTTTTCATGTCATTTAATAAATTTAAATTTTATTCAAATATCACACCAGAGTAAGAGTTTTTTTTTTCGTCTGTACTTTTCATAAAATACTCAGGAGAAAAGATTTGATAATATCTCTTCTCCTCCTCTCCCAAAAATTCCTTTTAGTATATCCAGTGTAACTTCAATTGAATTGCAACTTCTCTTGAGTGGTCAAAATTATAAATGCCAGTATTTCACTCTAGTAGACAGGAGATATTCCAAGAATTTCTTTGCAACAGTCCATTTCTAAATTCTTCTGTAGCATCAGATTATATACAAGATGTACAGGCAGTAGTAACATTCAGTCCGAGTATCTGTTTTACACTTGTCTCTTGGTTTTATAATGCTTCTTATATTTCAAGGAACCAGAATTTCTTTGCAATAATTTTTAGTTTTTGATGTAATATTTTTGCTGATGTTTAGTTATCTGTATTCCTCTATTTTCTCAAGTCATGAGTCATTCAAACTCATCTTACTCAGCAGATATCTTGCTTGATGTATCCACTGTTCTTATCAGTCTATCAATAACTTGCAAATACCTGAAAAATGTTGCTCTTTTTATGAAAAACAATTGGATTAGATGATGTAAAATAACTGTGAATGGAAATATAAGTTATTTAACTGAGCTTACCCCAACCAAAAAAGTAAAGCCAGTAAGACAAAGGATTACTAGGTGTGAAAGAATTAGAAAACAAAACATTATGGAGGAACAAGAACAATAGAAGAGTAATCAGGAAGACAGTTGATAATGATTGATATTGCATTTAAATATTTGAAGGTCAAAGTTGGCCAGAAAGCATGGAGCTGGAAGAGAGTTCCACAAGTGAGCAGTATGAGAAAAGAAAAACTGTTAACATAGAACTTATGGTTACATCTAGTCAATTCAACTGAATATTGATGAGACCTTGCTGCCAGTCTAGTACTGTGCATAAATTCATAAAGTCTAGCTACCAAAGTAAAGCGCTCATCTGAACAATTACCATGAAAATATTTATAGAAAAAACACAGGAAATCAATTTTATGGTAGTAGGAAGGTGACTGAAGATGCCAGGTCAGCACCAATAATATTGCTGATTCTCCTTTTGATTTTATCAAGAATTTATAAGTATATAGCAAGAGCAGCAGGCCATATGTGGCAGCAATATTCTAAGCATGGGCAAATAGTAGACTTAAAGATATACATAAGATTGACTATCACAACACAGTAAGCCAACTTTCTTTGCAGCTGGCTTTGCAATGAATTCAATGTAGTCTTTATGTCAGCGAAGAATGTTAGCCTAAGAAGGTGCATTGTGTCATTCTCCTAGAGGTTAGCATCAGACATGCAGATGGAACACAGAAAGGGGTTTCTCAGATGATTAATTGAGAGCAATTTAGTTTTAGAGCAGTTAAAATTAACAAGCCATTCTTTGCCTCAGTTAACAACAGAATGTAGGACATTATTGACATCAGCTGCCAATTTGACCTTATCGACTTGATCAGATTTAGTATTGAGACAAGAGTAAATGGCTGAACTAAATTAAAAACAAAGTGGAGCCAAGAATAGAGCCCTGAGAGACATCTGCATTAATATAGTAAGATCTAGAAGAGTGGCTATGCAGGACAACTTTCTTTTCATGATTTGATAAAGACTGAATCAGTTCAAAAATTTGTCCAGAGTCACCATCACTTTTCAACTTGTGAAGATTGGTA